AACAACACACACACACACACACACACACACACACACACATATATATATATATATATATATATATATATATACATACAAAGGCACATACACAAGTACACAAGCATGTATAATTGTGCATGCATGTATATATATACTTGCACTACTTACTCACCCTCCTGTCAGGACTATTCGTGTAACTCTTGGTCCGTTATCGGATTGGTACGTGTCGAGAGAAAAGTCGTCCATCTTGTATAGCATCCAGAGCCAGAAGGATATGATTATAACACTTTATCTGGCGTACATATTTCAAGGGTATTTCTTAGCAGGTCTCAGGATACTGACTTTCCTATGAGGCACATGTGGCCGTATCAATTGATACACACAGATTTCCTATAATTCGGGAGTAATTATACACCATATTTGGTGCGTAAAACCAGGGATACATCATACCTGACAGGAGCGAACTAGCCCTACTAGAGCTACTGGTAGCGCGCGGGGGGTACATGATTAAATACAAAAAAAGATTTTGATAGAAGTATGGAAATTGGAATCACCCACAGACCACAGCCTCCACAGGCCACATGCCTCTAATTTTTAATTTTTTAATTTACTTTATTGTAATGTTTTTATCACTATGACAAGTGTCTTTCAATTTTGATATGCAATTACGGCATGAAAATTATAGATATATCTTCATAGCCAAGAGTCAAGAGATCTGATACAATTGCATTCTAAACTCTTATAATACAAAGAAATACATATCTTCTTTTCTTCTTCTCGTGTATAGGTTTCGATGTTTCGTTTTTAGGGATACTATTATTTTGTTTCCAATTTGGGTAAAATTTTAAATTTATGTCTACATGACATGCACATCAGGCTCCTTCTGAAAATTGAACAAGAAGGCTGTTTTTGTTGTTATTTTAAAATAGGATAATTTCCAACTCATCAGGTGACTATTTACAAATATATGGTATCTATTTCAACACGTTGGTCTCTGGTCAGATTTTCTAGGCTGTCTTATAAAGAATAATACTGGGACACGAGCACTAATCAGTCCAGCTTTATTCTCACTTCAGGTATGTAACAACAAGGATACGACTTCCATATGCAGTAAAGCTGAAAGGACTTCACCTGAGGACTCATTCTCTTCTAATTGCTCTGTTGACAGTGGCACACCCACCCACCAATCATCACTTCCGACAATGCGTTGTCACCCACGCAGTCTCCACATCTCTCCATAACACAGGGAGTGACAATATCTGTGATGGTCACCATAGCTAAGGACTTCGATTACCAATGACATCTAGTAGTCATTCAACATGTTTCATCGCCGCTTAAATCAACGCCATCTCATAGTAATTCAACATGTTTCATCGCCGCTTAAATCAGCGCCATCTCATAGTAATTCAACATGTCTCATCGCCGCTTAAATCAGCGCCATCTCTCGTGCCTGCACCTAAATACGCGAGCGATTTGAAACCTACCGGTCGCTCAACACCCAAGCTTCTCGATGATTTTGCGCCGTATATCGCAAATACAATTCAATAAACACTAGTCCATGTATTCACACACAAAAGAAATCCCGTAAACAATTAAAGCCATGCCGAGTGTAAATTCTATTGAGGGGGTTTATTTCTCGAGGTGGTGCATCGCCCGCCAAGTCGGATCCGATTCATTCCACGTGGGTGTGCGTGGCTGTCACGACCGTTCGACTTCTGTACGGGCTGTTTGTTGTGCGAATCAGGACAGCGTAGATCCGTGGCAAATAAAAAGACGCGGTGTAGGTGAGCAGATTGAGCATGCATACATAAACTCATGCGATGAGAAAGTGGCGTGTGTAGGTAGTTCTCCGGGTGCGCATGAGTTTACGCAGGACTTAAAAATTTCCCTTGTTATCTACAAGCTATGATTCTGTGCGAGTGTGTGGTGGCCCTAGTATGATGTCGCACACTACCACCATGTACAAATATAGACAACAATGGTATAGGCGTGTCTTATATCCTCTCACGCATATGTGCACATGCATGAAGAGACGGCCATGCTTCTAGCTACACGCGCAATTCCCCATCGGTTCACTAGCGAGCAGACATAGACACATGTGTGCAGATCCGTGAGTCTCATCGTATCTATGTGTATGCACAAATTACCATACCTTTCAGGTAGATATATAGAGGCTTACATAACACCTGTTTAATAGAGCTATGCACTACCGTATGTGTGTATATACGTTATGATACCTGTGCGCAATATGGCTTCATTTATCGATAGGTATGCATGGCTCGAGTGTGTCTGGATGTCCAGCAGGCCATCCTCTTCGCACCCCAAATTTCAATACTAATTAGCCCCCGCATACCTGCACATACCAAAACGCTATAATAGACACAGCATGAACTAACACGCATTCCCCACATAAAACATAAAGCGAGCACATACCCGTGTGATACATCCGCTGCATCTAGAGATAGTCGTCGTAGTCATAGTCCAGTTCATCGAACTCTTCGAAGTCCTGGAAATCCACGCGGTACCGCAGCATACCGCCGACACCTCCGAAACCTTTCACAAATTGCGAGCCCTCTTGCGATCTGTAACGGGTGCATACGAGAGGGCAACCGGTCAGTTATACTATGGAACACCCGAGCACTACAAGATTAGTCAGTGGCGAGGATCGGTACTTAATATACACAAAAAACGCACTAATACGCATCATCCCAACACCAAAGTGTGCGAGCGCGTGTATCTATCCGCCAAAGTTTACGACACGGAACCGAATCTGTTGACAGTCAAAAGCAAACAACCCCCGTGGGAAACATGAGCACCTAACTGCTAAGTAATACAGGGCCAAGGCAAGCAACACAAACAGACTAAATAGGCCCGACACGGTGATCGACTTCACATAGTCGAAACTGTCACAATCTCCGGAACCTTCTCAACGCACAAAGACAATATCAAAACAACTCCATCAGAAGCAAACGTATCCGTAGCATACGCCACACCGCCTCTAACACAAAGACAACCGCCTCCAATAGTCATCTGCCACACTCCCCACAGCATTCTACTACACAAACACCAGGCGAATCAACTCCACCCCAATAGTCATCCGTCACACTCCCCGCAGCATTCTACTACACAAACACCAGGCGAATCAACTCAACCCCCCCCAAAAACCTACTTATCCGTCACAATCTCGAGCACAGCACCAAAGTTCTTATAGTTATTGGCAAACCACTCCAGCAGCGGCTCGGTCTCCTGGATCTCCAGGTCGCAGTTATTTTCCGTATCGAAGAAATGCTCGCGCTCCTTCTCCTGTGTAGGTAACAGGTGCAGAACCGTGACCTCATCCGTGGCCGGGTTCTTGACCGTGATTCTATTAATATCCAGGTTCTCCCACACCATCAGGGTCTCTACCGCACCCATCTCCAGGCCACGGATGGTGTCTGCCACACCGAAGCAGTACTTGCCCGTGTCCTGTGCGATCTCATCGAAGAAGCTGACGATGAGCTTCTGTTCCTGAAGGAACTTGACGTTGGCCAGAGACTCGGCCGACAGGTCAATGGCCTGGTTGAATCCGTTTTCACCACCGTATGATACGTCGACTATCTTTATGATCTTGGCTACTAGACGGTTGTCGAACATGTCACTCTGCAGAGAAAGGGCCAGACGAGGAGATGAGCAGTGGGCCAATGAGAGAGAAAGAGAGAAAGCATATATATATATAGATACATACATAAAGAGAGAGACGGCTCCCAATTCTGAAACATAGTAATAGTGGTCGTTATGTATAGCAAGAACCAGTAGTGATCATATTGTATTGCAAGAGCACTGAAATCCAACCATTGTGCGGCTTCGCCCATTCCAGGTTCGCGACCGCCTGACATCAACAATACACACAAAACCGCAAATACGATATAAATTATACCGCCTACTAACATGGCCTCAGACACATGCATGTTCCCTACTATCAGATGATAAGACATACACACCGCCACTCACCTGACTCAGCTCGGTCTTGAAGTCTGCGGAACCAGCCAGAATCAAACCTTGCACGTTGACCTTATCATTGGAAATGAACATACCGACGGAGGTCTCCGCTACTTTACGCACGTAGTTGTGACGCTTCTCTAGACGCAAACGCGCGAAACGCAGGGCGGACTACGCAGAGATAGGGAGGGATACGAGGATAACGGTTAGTAGTGGGAGAATGAGAATTGATTATAGGGTAGAGAGAGACACGCATAATTATACGCTGTTCAATAGAAAAACAACATACAGTGACATAGAGAGGTATGTGTACGTATACCTGACAGTTGAAGATACGGGCGCATGCACATGCACGCTTACAATCACTGAGCATCGCCGAATGCAAGCGAGTGATAATGATACAAACCCTACATACATAAATACAGCAAGATATAACTATCACCCAACGTCCAGTACTCTACACAGCACCACAAACCCTACACACACATAGAAATGTTTGAAAAATCCATTTTAGACCCCTTTCATACCCCCCTTCCACACTACTGTAAAGTACACGACACTCGCACCCGACTGAGCCTCACTCACTCACCTGACCTCCACGACCGTGCTTCTTGGGCAGGTCAACCGAGAACTTGTGCAGAATCTCGCGCGTGTTACCACACAGTGTACCGAACAGCGCACCGTTACCATCCATGATGATGAACCCGAACTTGTTGTCGTCCTCCAACAAACTACTCAGCGCCTCTGTATGGAACTTGTTGTCGCACATGTACAGTGATGTGTTGATGGGTTTGAAGGGCTCGAAGTCTATGTTGAGCTTCTTCTCCTTGCCCTCGTCTGTGATGACAGTCCCGCAGAATAGGACAAGGCCGTTGGGTGGCACTCTGCGCACAGATACAGACAAGTCGTATGAGACTACTTATTTAACCGGTACATATGTACTGAAGCTGAACCGGGGTTTGACTAGAGATGAAAACTAGGCACCGGGATGATTTATCTCCCAGGCTCAGAGGTATAAGAAGTGCGAGGGAGGTTTAAGGTACAGAAACAACACATGACCGCATGTGGGGTTAGTAGACTGGTTGAATGACTTGTATTCTCACCTCAAAGACACAAGAACAATGTACGGGCCGGATAAAACCTTAAACTCAATTTTAGGCACTTGCGCGTACCAACATATGCCTAACTACGCCAACGTAGAGTATGGTTGAACTTCGGAAATGAAATAGCTACATATGATAGTAGTTCTATATATTCCCACGCATTTGCAAATACGTACCAAAACAAAACAAATGAACGTCTGACAAAAGGTACATGTTCAGGTGCAGAACCAACTCAACACGCACAAGCAAATAATATACCACGTAGCTAAAGCTATCATAGTATAAATGTGGCATTCATGTTAGCTAAGTCATCATAGTACAGATGTGGCATTCATCGCAAGTATTATTCTACCGTGCTCGACTGACATACTCCCTATATGACTGGGTTCTTCAGCAACCTATTCTAGGTATGTCTGTGAAATGGGTTGCCCTTGTATACTCGAGCGCGCACCAGGGGACTACTCGTAGTACGTATTAAATACGCTCAAAGATGGTTCTTATCAAGGCACATAGCACACTGTTGACCATACGAAGAATATACGTATACCAGTCATAGCTCAAGTCTTACCAGGCGCACAGATCTATAATGTACGTACCGACATGAAAGATATATATAAGATACTAGTCTTGTAGCAAGACAATGCATATGCGTGCCCAACAATACAACATACCTGCCATATAGTGTTGGTCATTTGCATACACGCAACACGCTCACATGAATTATATACGTAACATCCTAGTCACCTAACGTAAGTCTTTAAATTCACATAAGCATACACAGATCTATCCATATGGATCATTGAAACTATTGGCACTCTTGTCGTAGAAGTACCATACGCGTACATGTATATGTAAACAACACATTTGGTGTATACTTGAACAACTCATACAGATCTATGCACGACACTCACAACGATAATGTACATAGCAGACGCATAAATTAGTGCATTACAGATCATGATGTACAAAAGATTCGGTGTCCATACATACGCACAACTTACTTGTTATATAGCTTAAGTCGTTGTTGTACGGATGTAATAGCGCCCAGCACAGACAACCGATTAACTCGCGATTTGATATTTGATGCTGTGCCGTACTCATCTGCTAACATTTTAGATACCCGGGCAATCTGATGAGGGGAAAACAAGCAATGCATTAAGAACACAAGTGGCGGATTAATGTATTAAGAACACGGGTGACGGATTAATGCAATAGGTAAATATGTGACAGATTAATAAAAAGTCATGTAACAGTGCATAGGTGATGTCTGACTGAATGTGAATGAGATAAGTGCATTGGATAAACGTGCATACACGCATGACTCATGCACAAGCGATTGCGGCCATTTGTCGCGAGCAGAAGGACTTTCTGTCCCTCAGCGCATATCCGTGCAAACATACAAACGTATGACAGATTAAACAATATTCGGCGTGTGCTAAAGTAAACTCAGAGTTATATATATATATATATATATACGTATAGATAAATATGTATATACATACATACATATATATATAGACTAGATGCACCAAGATCCAAGCGAGTATCACAGCGCATCTGAACCATCGGAGAGGGATACAAGTCTTGTGTACACCTGTCTGAGGCAGACGGTATACATATTTACTCGTGAAACACATCGTAAGCATACTTACGGATGAATCATAGAGGCGTATGCGTCTTAATCAATAGCTAGCAGATTGCCTATACACACAATAGGAAACTGCTAGTTGAAAGCGCGACTCCAATAGGCTGCCATCGAAACTACTGCATTTGTACCATTCTAATTGTGATACGCTAACGCACAATGGTTGCATTGTCATGTAGGTGTCGCAGTGGATGCAACTATATCGATCCATGTTCACCATTTGGACATAAACAAGTTAGATCTGTATTCAGCTAAACTGTAGCATCTGAGGTGTGAATACATGCGCTTACAAACGCGTTTAATATAGAGCAGTAAGGAATCGATGCAACAAACGTGAGAATACACACCCAGTGTGAATGATATTGGGCAAGCACCGACAAGCGACTTGTGAATGTTAACAACCCATGCAGCTAATCTTTGAGCTCACAATGTCAATGAGATGCTAGGGCGAGCACCAGGTATCTTTAAATAATCAATAAACCATGTACCTAAACTCGCACCCGACTTGTGAATGTTAACAACCCATGCAGCTAATCTTTGAGCTCACAATGTCAATGAGATGCTAGGGCGAGCACCAGGTATCTTTAAATAATCAATAAACCATGTACCTAAACTCGCACCATGCGCCCTGGAAATCAGAATAACAGGACGCTGAGTGGTGACGAAAATGAGACGGAGCCTCCCTTACTGTTGCCACCAGTTTGAGCCAACAAGACGTGGGATTGTCGTCAAATCGGTTTCAGTTGATGGCACACTCTAAAACATGTAAATAGATATGAATATATATATATATATATATATATATATACATATATATATACGTGTACATACACACGCACATACACACACATATATATGTGCGCAATTATGTATGCATATACCTGTGGAGAACACACATAATGCACATGGCTCTTTGTATATATATATATATATATATACTCGTATTTGCTGAAAGCCATAAGATAATATTCACAAGTCTAATCATTTAAATAATTACAGATCGTGTGCACACGTGGTTTCAAATATACCACACAAATATGTACACACAAAAGTTATATTCAAATATGTAGATACAACTAAAATTGTACACTATATAATGGATACACGTATATATATATATATATATATGTATATATAAACACAAATACATTCATATGACATATGTATACGAATATATGTGTATACATATAAACAAACACACACACACACACATATATATATATGCATATATGAATTTAAAATTATACGTAAACGTGTCACACAAACATATATATGCATACACGTAGTATAGTATATAATACATAATATAATATAATAATAATAATAATAATAATAATATATATATAAATGTATATATATATATATATATAACAATACACATACACACGTGTACGTGTACGCACAAACACGCACACACACATAAATATATCCGTTGATTCATCCAACTGTACTTGATGTATACTTTGCGTCTTCCCTATCTATCAAAAAAATAAATACAGTTACAGAACGCGAATCCATAGATAAGTACTGACCTGATCCTTGGGCGGAGTGATGAGTGAGATCATGCTCGTTCCGTTACCACGAGCTTTCTCAAGGTTTTTAATCAACTTCTTCACTTTCCACACTTCAACATTTCTATCAGCCTCCGCTTGTTCCTCCATATTGCTATAAATATGCACTAACTATATGCTTATGCCTTATGTATGTATAAATGCGTATATTAATATGGTATATATGTGTGTGTTTGCGTGTTTACGTATACGTCCTTGTGAAGATAGGCTGTATGTTCACGCTTGAAATCCGAAAAGTAATAAAAAAAATACGCAATACACATCTCTGATTCTCTGTTGGTGAACTTTACTGATGATCTGATCAAAGTACTAAAATTAGTAGGAAAGTTTAGAGAAATAAATTGCGTAAAAAATAATCAAAATACACACGAGGTCTGGATAAACCTTCTCAGAGGAGTACACAACTAAGTTTTAGTTATGAGTGGGTTAAGGTTTTCAAAACCCTGAAATTCTAAAATTGAAATATTCTATTTATAGATTCCATTCAACCTTCGCTCGCTTAGTATATCGTTGCTATGTATTGTAGCTCAGATCTCACAATCTGGAATTCTCGAGAATTCATATATTTGACCTTGCAGGAGTAAAGTCGAGTAAAATGAATGCTCTAGAGAGTAGTCAATTGTAGTGTCATAGACTCGCACACTCTCACAGACCACAGTAAAGTGTAAACACCAATCGGTAAACACCCCAGGGCCCAGGTAAACAGGTTAACAAAAGCAATATTTATAAAACAGTACATATTGATTTTTCTATTAAAAATAAGTTAAAAACAGCTGTTTTAATACTGTTTCATGTAGAAGGCCGTGAAAATACAGTACATACATATTTAGTATTTACTGATACTGTAAGTGTGTTTGTGTATGTTTGTGCATTTGTTTTTAAATAAAAACATTTTCAAGAGCGAAGGGCTGTAGGCTTAATTATAAGGCTAACCTGTAGCAGCTGTATTTAAAAATGTAAAGTGCTGAAAGCCTAAAACCCTAAATGTAGAGAGTATATAACCCAATCGAGAAATCCAAGCGACAAGAAGATTGGAGATTAATTGAGAACGTGCTTTTGGGCGGTTAACCGTGCTTTGTTTGTCATTGGTTCATTTGACCGTTATGGGCTATTTCCTGTCTCCTGACTCCTCACTGGCCTCCCTGACTCTGTTCGGGCTGTACTGTAATCTGTTGATACCTGATTTAGCTGTCCAATCCCATCTTCACAAGTCTACCATCACATCATATTTAGTCTGGGACTCTGGAGTTTGGGTGGCGTGAACGGGATATGTTTATACCCGCGGCGTGAAAAAAGAATTTCTCAGAAATGTTTTATGTTTTGTATTGATATTTTTATTGTATATATTCTTTGGACAAGGACGAGCGGACTTCACAGTTCGTTTGAGATACAATAAACGACTGAATTGATACTACTAGAGTTAGTAGAGTAGTATTAATTGAACGCCATGGCTGAAGCCAAGTTATCCACACACTTGGTACCAGAGGACGCCTACAAGCATGTCAAGCTTGTATACGATGATGACGAATACTTCACTGTTCGGGTTAACAGCGCATTCTTTGCCAGGTATGCATGTGTGTACATGTAATTCAAATATGTGCCATGTCGTATGTGATGTTGTATGCGTGTGTGTATACGTATTTTCAATGTTTGGCGTTGTGTGTATGCGTAGTATAGAATAATATATGCATGTGCGTGTATGCTTATAAATATATTTTGTATAAATAAACGTGTATCAATATCAACAACAGGTTTTGGTTATCCGCACGAGTACGTGTCAACAGTACAAGTGGCGTGTATGCTTCGATGCAAAAATGAATGTTTCATGAAAAGGCTGTGACACTGCTACATGCGAACATCAGAATCTACTATCGAAGCGAACAGCACATACTCATTCACTTTCAAGAATACGTATGTGCTACACTCTTACTGGCGATATGATTGTTTCTCTGTCACAAACACATCCCGTCGATGCTGACACGTATTCTTTGGTTACAACTTCAAATTCAGGATTTCCCGCAACATGCGCAAGCAAGTGATCGGCATCACAAACGAGGTGAAGAATAGGTATGCAAAAAAAGACGTATTGTTGTGATATTTAATTCTATAAGGAATGCTAATTATAGTAGATTTTCATGCAGTAGGATTTCATGCAAAATTTGTATAGTATCACGAACTCTTTGATTGGCAAATGAAAGCTCGTCTCAGATTTAGGAATCGAAACTGTGGATTGGGTAATAAATTTTTCTTATGAGTGTGTATGCATGTATGTACGTCATATACATCTGTGCATACTTGGTATGAATTGTATATATATTATATATGTACACACACACACACACACACACACACACACACACACACACACACACTA